TTGACTCATTGTACTCCACTGTTACTCCCTGTTCCTTTTCTGTGGTCATTTTATATTTGTGAGATTGATTTATTCCTTCCAAAGTGGTGTACCTTCCATTTGACCTACTTGAATTTCATTTTTTTTTTCAGAACATTTCTTTAGTCCGTCAAGATCTTTTTTTGAATTCTAATCCTGTCCTCTGGAGACTTGAAACCTCTCCCAGCTTGATATCATCCGAAAACTTCAGAAATGTTTTCTCTATTCCATTATCCACATCATTTATGAAAATACTGAATCAAATAGGTTTATATAGGTTGTATGTCTCCTAGTTTGCTAAGAAGGTCATGTGAGACAGTATCAAAAGCCTGACTGCAGTTGAGATCTACCACATTATTGTCGTTATTGTCCAGGATCTGGATTTCCAACACTCCAGTCATCATGATACCATCTACATGTTTTGTTAGTCTTTAAGGTGCTACTAGACTATTTGTTGTTTTTTAAGTTTTTCCTGTTACAGACTAACTTGGCTACCCATCCAAAGCTTTTGAATCTGCCTAACAATCTGTCTCATCTTTTATTTATCTTGGACACTCTGGTTACCTTCTCCAGACCTGAGGAAGAGTTCCATGAAGCTCAAAAGCTTGTCCCTTTACCATAAAAAGAAGTTGGCCCAATAAAAGATATTACTTTTCCCACTTTGTCTCAATCTAGTCTAAAGCCAAAAGCCTTTGACTTGAATGGCAGGTCCTCTTCCTAGGCCACTACTGAGGCGGAATGTAGCAAAGCTTCAAAATCATATCCAGAGAGGACCCAAAGACCGGACGCATCCCATTTATGCACCTTTCATCAGAGAGTAGGGATATGTGTGGAGGCAGGAGCACTAGTCTTTTTCAGTAGCAATATCACACAGCTACAGCACTCAGTCTCTTCCACTTCCAAGCCCTCCCATCCTCTACATTTCTACCACTCAATTCTACTCATCTCCACTGAGCTGCCATCCATCCTTATTTATTCTGTGTCACATTTGTCATTGCTCACCCATTTTCACACTCCCTGCTAGTCTGTTTTTCCCTCTCCTCCCATTTCATAAATCCTCTTCCTCTCTTGCACGGTACGTGGATCTACATAGAAGCAAAATTAATGAAAGAAGTATGATAAAAAGAGGCAGGGAAGAATTAAGGACAGGAGCCCGGGCGACCTATATACTTGTATGAGAACAATGAGAAAGGAAAGAGGGTAAAAGCTGTAATTCATTCCTCTCTTGCTTCGACATCAACTCACTCATCCTAAGAAAGTGAGTGGTGATGACTAATTTAATTATTCTTTTGTAAGCCATATAGAAATTCCACAGATCCTTACTAAGTCAGATTTTGAGAAGTTCTGTAACAACTGTAGTTTGTTAAGGGGAATGATTTGTATTCCCCATAATAACAAACATTTTTTTACTCTCCGCTTTTAATCAATTTGAGCCTCAGTAAAAGTCAGTGCAAATAAACAATATAACCTGATGATTTGGTGAAAATCATAACTCTCTAAGTAGAGAGTCTGCTGAATGGTCTAAATCTGCAAAAGAAACTCTCTCCTGAGAAATGATGGCTTACATATGAGTCTGTGGCCCTAAGACAACCATCTCCTATTGCTGAATTGCACTCTACTAAACCACAAACCAAGTCTGGAAAGGGATTTGTGATTTTGTGGTATTCATGAGACTGCTGCTGTCTTCAAAATGGGCTCCAAAGTGATCTCATGTGTTCCATGGCCAATAAGGGATTGCTCCACTTTGTGCACCCTCAGCTAACTTGTGGGGAGGTCCTTATGGGTAGATGCATATATTTTGCTTTAATCATGAGTGCTACTCTCTATTTCAGGCACTTGCCAGTGCGCAATCCTTATCCCGAGTCTGCTTTCCCCTTGTGCAGGGAAGAATATTTCTCTTGTGCATTTGGTTCCTAAATCATAATTTCATGCATATTCAATAGACTGTAAAATACAACAGCGTTCCCCTTTCTTATGACAGAAGGCTTGCTCACTTCTAATCCAGAGGCTGCAGATAAACACAATCTGTATAGTATAAACCATAAAAACCTGTGGTTGAAAAATGGCCTTTTGACAATCATAGAAACATACGAGGCCTAGAGAGAACTCACAATGGTGTGGAATTTAGGATAGCAGCATTATTCAGGTAAGAAATATTCAATGTAGACTGATCCCTGAACTTCAGAATCAGCTTTTTAGACATTCAAGACTACTTGCTTCCTACTATGAAACAGAATCTATTATCTCCTAATAAGCAACCTGGTGCTGACTAGTGAGTAGGTGCACTGGCTTGGGGCTCTAGAGAGCTGGGTTCTAGTTTTAGCTCCGTCAGGTGACCTTAGACACCCTTCTGTGCTTGTTTCGTTACTTGTAAAATGAGAGTTGATACTTTCTTTGTAGAATGCTTTGAGACCTATTGATGAAAAGTCCTACATAACAGCTAGTAATTCAGCTAAAATTCACATGAGGGCCTTTACCAAATAATGTGGAGAAGGAACAGTGATATTCCTAAAAAAATAGCTCTCACTCTTAAACAGAGACCATTGACAGTAAGGCTATGTCTACACTGCACAGTTATTTCGGAATAAGCTATTCCAGAATAGTTATTCTGAAATAGCCTATTTCGAAATAGCATGTCCACACTGCAGGGAAGCCTCAAAATTAGTCTGAGGCAGGCTTCCCTAATTAGATGTGCTATCTTGATTTAAAACCCCAGGAGGAATGACTTAGAATGACCCTGGTGAGGGGCTATTTCAAAATAGCAGAAAAGGAGCATCTACACACACCTTATTTCAAAATAGCTATTTTGGAATAGGCATTATTCTTCATAGAATGAGGTTTACAGAAGTCATAATAAGCCATCCATTATTTCAAAATAATGAAATTGCTGTGTAGATGCTTGCATAGTTATTTCAGAATAATGGCCATTATTTCAAAAAAACTTTGCTGTATAGACACAGACTTAGAATGTGTAATATCTGGAGAAAATACAAAATCTTGTTTTCAGTGGAAGCCTCAAAAGATGAGGGCAGAAATGGCATTATGAATAATGGACCCAGTCAGACCAGTGCAAGCCATTGCATTTGAGAGGTAAACCCTTCCCAGAACCTCTATGCATATTAAAAACCACAAGTCTACCTTTGGCCTGGATGGAGGAGGTATGAATGATTAAAAAGGGAAAGCCTGAGGCAATGAGATTGTGATACTTACTCATTTTTGGCCTGAGATGTGATCATAAAAAGAATCAACATGTTAGAGGGTGCAGGGATGACTAGAAAACAGGAAGCCTACATCTAGACTGGCATGAATTTCCGAAAATGCTTTTAACGGAAAAGTTTTCCGTTAAAAGCATTTTCGGAAAAGCACGTCTAGATTGGCAGGATGCTTTTCCGCAAAAGCACTTTTTGTGGAGAAGCATCCGTGGCCAATCTAGATGCGGTTTTCCGCAAAAAAGCCCCAATCTCCATTTTCGTGATTGGGGCTTTTTTGCAGAAAACAGTACTGTGCTGTCTACACTGGCCCTTTTGCGCAAAAGTCTTTTGGAAAAAGACTTTTGCTCGAATGGGAGCAGCATAGTATTTCCAGAAAAGCACTGACGATCTTACATGAGATTGTCAGTGTTTTTCCGGAAATTCAAGCGGCCAGTGTAGACAGCTGGCAAGTTTTTCCGCAAAAGCAGATGATTTTGCGGAAAAACTTGCCAGTCTAGACACAGCCGAAGAGTTGAATTACAAAAAAAATTAACTGAATCCATTCCAGCAGTGTATATATATGAAATATGTAAGTACTAAAGACAGAAGAATTATTTATTGAGATTATCCTATTCAGTGGAGAATAAAGGGGAAGAATTACAAAAGAGAAAATTAAAGCTGAATAGCAGGAAAAACTTTTTTTTTTTTGCGTATTCTATTAGTGTGAGGAACAGTCTCCATATGAAGTTTTGGAACCCTGTTTCAGACATTTGTAATGAGAACAGAACCATAGAGATGGTTTTGAATGGAATAATATTGTATTAGCAGAGAGTTTTGCTAGATGGCCTCACGTGCTAGATCTCTTTTCCCTCTTGATTAAAGGAACGGTGAAAGTTATAACCCATATAATTGAAAGATATAAAAAAGACACTATTTAGAAACACAATACTGTGAAACAAAGTATCTGACTCATAAACACTCAAGCTGTGCAGGTATTTTGTATTCTCACACAGGTAAAAATGTGCCATTCCTGAAATAATAATTTTAACCAGTTTTCCACAACTTTGTTTCTTCTCTTCCTCAGCTGTATCATTTCTCCAACAAATTACACATGCTTTGAAAAGGTAAAATCCCTAGATTTGCAATGAGACATGCACCACTTGCTTCTAGCTCCAAAAGGTCATCTACATTATGAGATATAAAAGTCTTGTCTACACTTGAAATCTTAGAGGGACACAGATGTAGCACTGATTTAATTGGGGTTGGTCCTGCTTTGATCAGGGGATTGGATGATCTCCTGAGGTCTTTTCCTAATCTTCTCTGATTCCATGAAATAATTACAATAAAATAAAAATAAAATAATACATTTTATTACAAAGTTTTTCTTTTATATGTATCATAAACAGAAGTCATGAGAGAGTGGTATGGCATATCGTTTTTATAATTCTGAGAGGCACAGAAAGAGTAAAACATTTTGAAGATTTTTTTTAAATTACTGCTTTTAAGGAAATTCAGCCTGATGTAAATCTGGGGAAAGAAACTTTCTATTTTTGTTGAATTTCTGAGGGAAAATATTATAAAAAAAATCTAGCCAGCTTTACTTGCAATTCAGTATTTAATGAATCATTTACTAACAAATATAGATACTTTAAATTTCAAATTAATTTTATATAAATAAAGAACTCATTCTTTTTTTACTTGGCTGCAGCTTTATTCCATGTGTATTTGCAGCCTTAAATACAGATATGTTATTGCAAAATGTTGCATAGTAATCTTTTGACACACACTTACTGTACACTTGTAGCTGTCCTCTGAAGACATTCCTTCCACGTGAGTTTTCAGCTTTACATTCATATATCCCTGCATCCTCTAGCTGTACATTAGGTATTTCAAGAACAGCTTGGGACTTTCTCAGACGGGCTTTACTTGGATTATGATCATTAACTTTCCTCCATGAGATTGTTGGAACAGGGCTGAAACATTTAGTAGAATTACTGTTAACACTTTTCTGCTATTAACAATATAGATTTTGTTATCTGGTAATTTAAGTACATAATAGTCTAAGTGGTAATAAAGTGTAATCACAATTAAGGCTCATGTATCACTTGATATATTTTATATTCCATAGGGATGTTGCTGTATAAGAGACATCCCTATCTTCCACAAAGGAGGTTAAACTTTAATTCAGATTAAGTAAATCATTCCAAATGCTCTCCAGGGATTAATCTGATCTCCAAGTTTTACTATTGTTGCCTTGAGTGCCTTTATGTCATGGTTAAAGGAAATAACATGTTTTATACCTGGCTGAAGTTTATAAGTGTAGCCACTTTATCAGCTTCCCAGATATTACAGGTTGCCCCTCCCAAAACCGTGTCTCTCTTGTCTGGCAATATCTGTGGTCTGGCAGGATATCTGTGGTGCTGGCTGGAGGGCCAGCAGCTGAGAGCCCCATGAATGGTGAGGCTGGTGATAGCAGGGCCAGGGCCTCAGTAGCCTGATGGTGGTAGCAGGGCCATGGTAGTGGGGTAGGGGTAGCCCAGCAACCCAGCTGGGACTGGGGCAGCCAGTGCGTGGCGGCCCAGCAGCAGGGCTGCTGCTGTGAGCTCGATTGAGTCTGCGGCAGCAGAGTAAAGGCAGCAGCAGCTCAGCTGAGGTTGGGGAAGGATGACAGCGTGATGAGGGCTGTGTGCCAGCTGGCAATGGGGCTGGTGCTGTCATGGCAGCTGGACCAGGGCCGTTCAGCCAGGGCCACGTGCCACCCAGCAGCAGGGCTGTGCTGCGTTTTGCCATGCCAGCAGTGGGGCTTTGGCAGCAGTTCTGATAGTGGAGCTAAGGCAGCTGTGTCACCTGGGTGGCAGCAGGGCCGAAAAAGCCACCGATGGGAAGGGGAGGCAGGCTGAGCGGTAGCCATGCTGGTCTGTTTCAGAAAAAACAATGAGGAGTCCTTTGACACCTTAAGTCACAAATTTATTTGGGCATAAACTTTTGTGGCTGGAACCCACTTCCAACTGCTCAGTCATTTTATGGACCTCTTATATAAGAAAATATAATTTAAAAACTATGATATTTTTGTAGAAATATTTTAGGGTAAAACCAGTCATTTTTAAAAACAGAAGCATACTTAGGGACTTGTGTCACTATTACTGGTTTAAGAGTCAGTGACATATGACTCTTTCTTGAAGCAGAGATCTTTTCCTCAGTAGTGTTCCTGAAACACTGAATAAGTATCTTTTGACATTTATGTTGAGTAAAAGAACAAATCTAAGAATGTCTATACTCATTCAACTTTTCTCTTCCTAGGACAAGTGACATCATATGAAAAAAATGGGATTGTGCCACATTGTCTCTTTAGTCATATGATATCTACTAGAGGAAGACTTCAGATCAAAAGCTGCATATAAATACCATTGACATTTGGGAGAGGTTGGATTCCAAAATTAATATATTAGGCCCAAATGTAAAATAATACACTGTTCTTTTCTGATTCTCTTAGAAAATTTAATTTGTAAGACTTGCACTAATCTTTCAAGAAAAAAGAATTGATGCTTAGAGCAGAAAAACATCGTCAGCAAAAATGATACATTTGTGTCTTATATTCTGGCTTCTCAACTTGTGTCATTTATCTTAGGACTAATTATAAAAAAACATACGAAGCACTCACAACGCTAGCTCAACTTTTGGAGCTACAGGGTTAGCAAATGAAAAAATCAGGCTCGAGATGTCTCAAAGTTGACAGCTAAAATATGTTATGCCTCAAATTAATACATGTGTTAATATGTATATCCATAATAGTTCATAGAGTTCACTGGTTTCCTTTTTCTGTATATACATAATACTCTTCTTATTGACCTTAGCTCTATCAGTCAGCCATGGACTTTTCCTGATGTCTTTAGCTTCCTTTTTCTGTTTTCCATACTTTATAATATCTAATTTATATTGATGCTATCTATTTTCACTTTTTTCCATTGATACTGCTTTTGAACTTTGAATTGCTGCCCTCAGTTTGCCACTGTACCAACATAGGCTTTCAACCAAAGTTGTGCTCATTAATTTGTGGAATTGTGGCTTTTGGGCCATATAATAAATTCTTCTTAAAGATGTCCCATTCATTTATATTTTCCTCAGTTTTGAGGAATTTTGTGTGTGTGTGTGTGTCTTGTTTGCCCATATTGAATATAAAAAGGTGAGGATCACTGGTTACAAGGAAACTATGAACTTCCATTACAGTGATTAATTCATATCCATTCTTCTTAGCAGGGCTCAAAACAGTTATATCATGTTACATGTAATACACTGTTGATTCAGCAACTACTATTAAAACATGGAAATATTTCATTATGTATAAGGTTGTACTTTTGTATGTGTCAGCACTGTTATCTAGACTGCAATACTAATTTAAATAATATCAACAGCAAAAGACCTGCTGATTTCAATGTTTCAGCAGTCCCAGTGCAATTGAAAAATGTTGACCAGTAGAATTTTTCTTATCATATGCTTCAGAGAAACACTGAAGAAGTCACAAAGTATTGAAGTTGTACAGAAGCCTCTATACAAGTCTTTTTATCAAAAACTTAGTATAAATTTCACCAGACTTATTTTATTTTATTTTTTAAAATGTACTGTACTTTAATTGCATGCTGCAGCAAGTTAGTGCTTATAATATGGAAGATACTAAAATAACTTTTTGCTATTGCCTAGATCATTAAGAAACAGCTTTTAAAATCACTTTTCCCTTATAATGATGAGGTATAAATGGAATTTTTCAAGGAGATAAAAATACTTTGGCTACAAAGATCTAATGATTTCAAAGAAAAGTGCTCCCAAACTGCAAATCTCTATTCATAGACAAGTTGGAGCTCTGTTTAATGAAGCTTCTTATTTTCCTTGCATAAGTTACAAGCAAGGTCTGAATTTTACATCAGAAGTGAGAAATACAGTTCTCCATATTTATCCTTGGTGACTTTTGGTTTTTTTTAAAAAAAGGAAAGAAAAAGAAACAATGTAGATATCTCAGTGATGATATCAAAGAATAAAGTTTAAAACTTTTCTCTAGAAAACTCAACATCTAGCATATGATAATGCATATATTTTCATTTAAAATATTTAGATCTCTTAAAAAGATTTTGATGATTAATGTTTGAATTGGTTGCAATTTGCATAATTAGTAAAGTTCTTTGGTTTTTTTTGTTTTTGTTTTTTTTTTTGGAGGGAGGGTATAGTGCAAATGTATGGGAATGTTTGCTGTGCCTATACTGTGAATAGCTTTATGCATGTGAGTCATTCCACTGAGTACAAATGCGAGGGCTTGCATATCTTGCCCCTGAAACAAAGCTACATGTTTGGACATCTGAAGCAAAATTTTAGCTCTCTTAAAGACAACATCAAAACTTGGGTTGATTTCAACAGGGCCAGGATTCAGGTCTGCCCTGGAAGTGGGTCACCTGGGTGACCAATCAGGGTACCATGGTCATGGACCATCATGGGCAGTACAGATGTGAACCCTGCCAGTAGTCAGAAGAACTCCACAAACTCATGGAGGTGACATGTATGTGTGGATGGAAGGTGCCCAGATTTCTCTCTGCTTCTTCAAGGAGGAGCAACATGGATGGAAGACAATCAGTGACAGACAGATACTGCATTGTTCCTCTGTGCCTACAAGGGGTGGTGTGTGTCAGGGGTGGGGAGCAAGGAACAATGCATCCAGGTCACTCCCCAGTTTGGCTGTACTGTGAGGAAACCATCAGGATGTGCTACTCTCCTGTCCTTCCCAGAGGGGGAAAGTGACCTGGATACAGGGACCTGTGATGTTGCTCCTTGTTCCCCCCCTCACAGCCACCCAGGATGGCCCAAAGATGCAGCATTTGAGGGCAAAGCGAGCCGCAATACCAGCCATTCCGTTCAACCACATCACTTTCTCCACATGGATGCAGGAGGAGAATGTAGAATGAGGGGTGCAAGAGATAGAGGGGTTATGGCAGAAGGGGACAAAGAAGAGGGCTGGGGAAAAGGGATACAGAAGGAGTTAGGGGAGAAAGGATTATTCATTATTTTATGTATTTCACAAGTCATTTCAGACATATATCTCAGATTAGATACTTGAAATCATGTTTAATTTTATCAATGACTGTCATCTCTCTGTTCTCTGCGCTATTATAAGATAGGTCCATATCCCCCTCTGCTTCCCTGGGTTCTCTCCTTTCCTTACTTTATTCTTGAGACCATGCAGAAATCTGATAGAGGAGAGCTGACAGAATTGTCGGGAACTTGGACAAGGTGGGGGGAGGATGTTCCACATCCCCAAAAGAGGCTGGGCTCTCCCCAGCCAACCCTTAGTGTCATGTGGAACACATTGTGTTGGGCTCAAGCAACAATTTAAAGGAGTCTCAAACCCTTTTGAATCACCCGGCCCTAGGCCTACCCTAAACTCTTTATTCTACAAGGAGTCCCTACTAATATACTTAAATGCATTGAACTCATGAAGGTTTCCAGATCTGTTCCTGGCATCTCTGTCAAAACAAATTAAGCTCGGGGGTGGGGGAGGCAATGGATTCTAGGCAGGAAGTTGGGGTTTAGGGACAATGGGGGTGTGTGTGACTGCAGGAGCCAGAGACAATGGGGGACATGGCACCTATGGGGGTTAAAGGCAATACGTTCATCCAGGGTACTATTTTTCCTAAGGCTGGCCTTCCCAGGATTAACTTCTTACCCAGTTCAGATAAAATACATATTTTATCTGAAGCTTTGCTTATGACTATGGGTATGTCCATACCTCGATTGGGGTTGTAATTCCCACCTCAAGCAGACGTACCTGTGCTAGCTCTGATCAAGTTAGCATATTAAAAACATTGGAATCACAGTGGTTTAGTTTTAAAAGTAGTGAGTTAAAGGAAGCAAAACTTTTCTCCTCCCCTTTAAAAATAGGTTATTGTCCATTAAAGCTGTGACAATGTGAGTAGAGGGAGGGTTAGTCACT